TATGTTGTTGTTGTACAATCTCTTGTTGTTGCTGTGCAACCTGTTCCACTGGTTGTTGCTGAGGAGAACGTTGTAGCATTTTCTAAAAAGAAGAAAATAGAATATGAAAAATTTGGCATCCACAAGCTTAACTATAAGACTTCGATAGATCTGCTATGGTAAAAACTTAACTTTGATCGAACAGATTTAAGATTTTTTCGCTAGTTAGATGGTCAGTTATGTAAATATGCATTTATAACGAAGAGATAAAATCGAACATTCATCGTTGAAAAGAAAAACATCTTTTAGCTTTTGTAAAAAGTAATCGAATCTTTCAAAGTACTATATAGATTTTGTAACATAAATATGTTAGCCAACATTTTAGGTAACGTTTAATAAGAACCATACATATTGTTTTTAAAAGGAACTTTGATGTTTTTGAAAGTTTTATTTAATTCATATGTGAAAGACGTCATAAAATTATTTAACTAATATAAAATGATGACCGATGCGTCGTTTATCTTCTGCTAATGTGTGATTATTTAATAGAATATCTCGTATTACTTTGATCTTCTTCTCACTTATTTTCCGATATGACACAAAAGAAAAATTTTCTTTATTAATTATCTCAAGAATATTTCGAAATAAATACATTTGATATGACAATAGAGTAAAATTGAAAAATTGCATATGTTTTCATTTCGTAGTACAATCATCGTTTTCATCTATTGTTTATTTCAATATTTTCTTTCATTCTAATATTTATTCGAGGAAAAACATTTACAGCAGAAGATTCTAGGTTGAATTTCACCTAACTTCTTCTACTTTACAAAGAAAAACAGGTGTTCATACGAATCGAGATTTCTGTTTTGAGATCATATTATTTTCATCTAGGAATTACAAAAAAATGCAGGATAACTGGGTGCAAATAGCAATACGAGGCAAAAAAAATTGGATTATTTTGCTTTCACACTAATCAGTCGATCGATTACTAGATTATACGTGTTCAAATATTTTGAATATTGAGTTTTGTTAGTACGTAGACTCTGAAGAACTTTTCGTTGACATGTTGTGAGAGGGTCCGTCAGCGCCTTGGTCATCTGCCAGTCACAAACCGTCAAAAATTCATCGTCCTTATCGTAATCAACATTCTCAGGACAGAAACGTGTTTCTTGGGCTTCTGTGAAGTTAAGAGCAGTCAAAATTTTGGGATCTTCAAATATACTCTTCAACTTTGTAAACACTTGGAGCATCTGTAACGCTTTTAAAAATGAATCAGGTGACGTAAACTCTTGGAGACGTTTTGCGGGTGGACAAATGGAAACCACGTATGCACTTTCCAAGCAGTCGTCCGTATTATTTATTTTCTTTTGTGCTATGTATATTTTTGTCTTGGCGGAAGTACAACACGCTCTCGTGGCATTGCAATACAAACTGAGAGTATTCTTCGTTAACGGTGACAGATTCGACACAAATTGATTAAAACGATTTTTTAATTGACGTAGATCTTGTTCAATCTTTTTATTTGCTGGAGCTTTTTTGCTGGAACCCTTCTGACCGATAGAATTAGCCGAAAGGCAGCAAAGAATGGACACACAGAGAAGAAAACCGACATGCATTCTGGTTTGATCTAAAACAGAAAAACAGAGAATATTTATCATAATGATATTCTTCGTATATATACTGTGTGCTATGGTGGAGAGAGAAAATATTATGGATAAGATTCAGACTTTATCTGTTTCATAAAACGACAATTATCTTTATATTTGAAGGTAATTTTGTCAACACCATAATATAGACTTTGGTGGCATGTGGTCGCCTGACATATATGTGCGGAAAAATAAGTATGAAAGATACTATTAATGACAGGTTCCGAATTGCAAGAGACGTGCGGTATGATGTTTATTCTAATGATAATTGAATGAGATAACTTTTTGACACATTACTATTATCAGTTCTATTGGGTAGCACAAAAAGAATTGTATTCCTGCTATTTTTACTTTGTTTCTCTTTCATACGATCAATCGAGGAAGCACTTTTTACCAAAATAGTCTACGTGAAGTTTTTTACAAAAAATACAATGGCTTTTAAGCAATGGAATGATGATTTGAAAAATGATACAAATGATAATTTCGACTACAAAAATATGCAAAAAATAATTTAAAAATACAGTAAAACCTCTCTATAGTAACACCAACGGGACCTTCCAAAAAGTGTTCACTATACGGAGGCTTTGCATTGACTGATCTTTTATACATATATAGTACACGCATAGCAGAGATGGGCAAGTCAAGTTAAAAATGACTTAAGTCAAAGTCAAGTCAAGTCATTTTTGACTTGCTTGGCTTGACTTGAAAAATTTTTTAACGACTTGTGACTTGACTTTGACTTGTCAAAGAAAATTTTTTGTGACTCATGACTTGACTTGACTTGTGACTTGACGAAAAATACAAGTCAAGTCAGATATTTTTTGCAACCTCAATGCATATTAGATTCACATTAAGTAAAGTTGTTCCTTGTTCATATATAAGAATTCTTTTCTTTTCCCTTCCATAGCTGTCGTATAAAAAAGAGCTCATTTTTGCGTCAGGTTATATTTGATTTGTGCGCATAAAATAAGGTCCCAAAAAAGAAACTATCTGACGTCGACATTCACAGTTATATAAGCAATTATACGACTGAGGACTACATAGGGCCAGAATGTGAAGAAAGACATTGCAAATGTTAACCACGTTAAAATGTAATCAGGGACTTATGTAAAATTATTTTCAATTAATTGATACATAACTAAATTATGACACTTAAAAAAATTCAAGTCAATGACTTGAGACTTGGCTTGGTTAGAACACACATTTGACTTGACTTGGAATTGCGTATTTTGAATTAGTGACTTGACTTGACTTGACTTGAGTCAAAAAATAGCTGAATTGCCCATCTCTGACGCATAGTATAATTGATTGATGACTACACACATTTCATGTTAGAATTCATCCCATTTCGCACAAAAAAATATGTATTTTTTTTCTATTACACATATTTATTCAAGTTTTATAAAACAAAGTACAAAACTGGAGTGTGGGTGTGGATGTGAGTTCAATGAAGGTCCACACTCACACCCACACACCCCCACACCCATTTAGAGAACAGCCACACACCCACACCCACACCCTAGTTTCTAAGAATAATGTATTTAGTATATTCTGTTAAACAAAAGTCTCTTTTAACAGGCAACTTCAGACAACTAAATAAGGGAATAGAAAAAATTATTTAATGGTCCATAATACATGACATTACAACTGACATATTATCCCTTGACTTGCCATTTGTAAACGAAATCGGTAGAGATTCAAACTTCAAATATTATATTTGACTACGGATCTGCTAACATGTTGAATAAATGAACTTTAATTAATATTACAAATAGACCTCAAATCCATTATAGTTCTAAAGATTCCTTTGTTTTGGATGTTTTAATCACTTGTACTGAAAGCTTTATTAATAAATTAATAATTAAAATGAATTTTCTTCAATTAATGGACTTTGCCTCGAAAACCAATTGGAAGATATGACTATTCAAATACTATTTTAAGATTTTTATTCGAAAAAGAAAAAGATTAAATGTCGATCGATGATAAAGAAAAGCAGAGGGTATGGGTATCGGAGAAGACAGTTTCACCCACACCCACACTCCTTCGTGAAAGATATATGGGTGCTAGTTCATTTAATTGTAGCAAATATGTGTTCGTCGGCAACTTCCTGCTGACATCCATAGTCAAAAATTTTGATTATTTCAGTCTATGTTTGCTTATTATAAAAATCAGACCCCTCGGTGAGTGTTATCTTTTAAACTGCATTTTTTCATTTCTTTTATTTCGTCATTACATCGATTGCTAAGAAGCAAGAGTTGAGAATAAACAGATTTATTCATATTTCCAAAGATGATATTACTCATCCTTCAAGTTTTGACATTGTCCCACGTTTTTTTCGTTAACAGTAATACAGGCGGAGTACAGCGATCGGTGACTTTGTAGGGATGAAAAATCATAATGGTACAAAGAATTTTCTCAATTTTTCTAAATAATTATAAAGTTTCAACATGCTATTTTTATATCAGTAGAATTTTAAAATTTACAAAGATTTTTTGTCTTTTATTTGTACCATCAAACTCTCAATGTTTTGTGCATAAAAATTAAAAACTCAAAATTATTCAATGTATCGAATGGGATAATGATAGGTTACAGAATTATAAACTGAACGTCAAGATCGCAAAGACTAAGTGAATAATTTTGTGCATGATTGAATATTGATCGTAATCAATTAACTTTTTGAAACTATATGCAGCTTATATCATTAAACATTTCGTACAGTAGAATTCGATTGAAGAATTATCCTCTCCATTACCTCTAAAAATTAAACTTTTTAGTTACAAAAACCACGTGATAGAAAGAAAAAAAATGAGTAAACTATATGTTTTCTTAATTTTTCAACACATTATTCTATCTTTCATGGTTGAAGTGAATCCAAAATATGAAGAAAAATTCTTTACAAAGTAACAAATATAAGTTTATTCAGAAAAAAAATGACCAGATTAAATATAAAACATTATCATGTACATGAAATAGATGAAGTTCTAAAATTTTTTTCTTAAAACATTTTTATTGTTAATAGTAAATATTTTAATTGTTGTTGAATTGTTATTCAAAAAATAATTTCGTAACATCTTTTGAAGTTTTTTGTTATCATCTTTTTTGTATTTATTCATAATGATCCAAATTTTAATTAATTTTAAATTTGATGAAATAACAAATTTTTTTTCTTCAATTGACGATGTCTATCATAGAAAAGAAAAATTTAATCAAAATGAAATAATAAAAAATGATAGTAGTATTGAGTTTTCAATAATATCTATAAGGAAGAAATGGATAAAATTTTAATGAAATTGTTCTCAAAAGATATTTTCATTGTTAGACAATACTAGTCTTCTTGTAATTCTCTAGATCAGAGTTGCCACCTTGTAATGTTCAAAAAGCAGAAAGCATTTTTTTCATGCCAAACTGTATCTCAAGCATTTTCTCACCGTCACAAGGAGAATGTTCCTCACCAGGATCCAATCTTTTTCATGGGAACTCGAGTAAAAACTATTTAACAGATAAAGGCAATTTAGTAACACATTTTCTTTTAATGTATATTTTCGTCTGAATTGACAGCTTCCAGTAAGTCATTGATCGATATTCGCCGCGTTCGTATAATTTAACATCAGTTTATATGGATTTTTCTGTCTACCGAGCGACTGATGACACTGAGTTTGATAATAGAGTTAATCAGCTATAAAAACTGTTGAAAATACTTTTCATAACTGGATCTGAAGTTCTGATTTAGATTGTAGGATTATAGGTTATTCCTATATATTAAAGAAAGAATTCAGATATTTTCTACATAACGATGAGCGATAATGCGAATCGAATTCCTTCAAACGTTTAGTTTTTTTAGAAACATCTTAGTATTGATGACGTCATTAGTAGAATTCGATTTATTTGGTTCTAGATACGTAGAAAAGCTGATCCATTTTCATACGAAGATAAATTTAAGTCAGCTATGAACATTTTTTTAAAAATCGAATCGATTAAAGTTTGTTCATTTTGTCTCAGATTAAATTATATTCTGTCACGAAGTGCTAGGTATTTGTATCCATTGCAGCGTATCTCCTTATGTGTTCGGAATATTAAACAGAATCACGAATTCATATGCGGATGAAATATGACTTCTTATATAATAGAAAGCTTAATATCCTAGATAGCACTATTACTCCTTACGCTTAGCTTTGAATAAAAAGCTTGTAGCACTATCTGATTTTGGAAAATGAGATTTTATCATTTTAAATAATTATCTCAGCTATTGTTAGACTAGTTGAACTATTTGTTAAAAACTAATTTAATGGATTGACTAATCGAGAAAAAAGGTGTACTCAAGGTGTACGTGCATTATTTCAATGCTACAAACTGTCGCACGACATATGATCTTGATAGTCATAGTTCGAACTCTAGAAGGAAAGAAAAAGATAGGTTAAGAAAAGAGTCAAGACGAACCATGAAAATAAGATTTGCCCTTTTTTGTAAAGAGCAGAAAACAGGTTTTGTTTCAAGAACGAAGGCTCAGAGTTAGAAGAGACATGAGCAAATGAAGATAGCAATATTTCTCACATTTTTAGTGTAATCACTTAGCAGAATCCAAGATCGTTGATATAAACTATAAAAAGAAAGACGTTTTTAAAAAGCAGAAAAGGTGGCAACTCTGCTCTAGATCTTTCTAATCGAACTTAATGTAACATTTTTATCAGAAAAGTATGAGAATATTTTCTGCGTACTTTACGTTTATAATATTGATAATCATATAGATCTAAATAAACTGAATTTATAATTAAATTTTTTAATTTTGGTAGACAAGGTAATAACTTTTCAGCCAATGAATAAAACGATATTCTTGTTGTTGCAAAATCACGATCATTTTTAGGAATATCTAATGAAATAAATTAGATATAATGTATACAAAAAGATACAATTTTGATAACTTACAACCAATAATAATTGTTTTTAAATTATTTAATGAGTTTTCTCTTATCGATAATTCTTCAAAATTCAAATCAACATAAGCTTTAGGTTCGTAGACATCATGTTCACATTCACACTCATATATTTCAAAATTCAAATTCAAATATTTTAATGATTTCATTTTTGATGATATTAAATTATTACATAATTCTACAAAGATAAATAAGATAGAAATTGAAATTTTATGTCTTTGAATTTAACGTATGTTTTTTTCTTTCTTTCTTTTTAGTTTGCATATTAGATTTAGTCATGCTCTAATCATTTTTCAATTATTAAGATAATTTCTTACCTTGAATTTCATAGTCTTCTCCACTGATATCTTCCATTAAACTTAATCGTTCTAATGTTTCATTTAATTTTATCTTTTCATCAAATATTATGTTACTTAATGTTGCAATTTTTATATTATTTATTATTAATGATTTTAGTTTAGAAAATTTATCTTTGAATAAGTCATCTTCGAAAAATATATTAAATTGATATTCATCATCAGCTCGAATTGATAATGGATAATTTTTATTTGTATTTGTTAATTGATTTAAATTAAAACAAAATGTTAAAAATTTTCCACTTGGAATTGCACCAAAATCAACATGAATTTTTGCATCATATAGAATTAATTTGTTGAAACGTGGATTTAAACAAAAAAATGTTTCATATAATTGATAGAAATCAATATAATTAAAACACATTAATATCAACTCATTTGGTAAAGCTTCAAATTTTGTAGCTGTTAAACTGTCAAGAAAATGAGTTTCAATGAACAAGGGAGTAAGAAAAACAATAATTAATGTGACTTACATTTGACTCTCTTGACTGATCCTTGTTGTTTTCTGACGTTTTCTGTTCGACATCAAAGTTTGATTTTTGTTGTTAGAATATATATCACATATGAGGACACTGAAAGAAAAGATATAAATTCAATTAGCCTATATAGTCAACCACTAAAACTTAAGAAACAGTTAGATGGCGTTATTGGATAAGAGAACAATTATTTTCTGTTGTCTTTTGTTCGTTGGAGTTCAGTTCAATAAAATCCAATAGGTAAAGACTTGTGAAGTGCTACATCACTATACAGATGAAATTGCTTAGGTGTGGGTAATTTTCGATTCTCTTCACACCTACATCCACCAAAAAGTTTTGGATTTTCATATGAAAAATTTCACGTTTTTCGTTATTTCGGAAACATCAAAACCATTCCATTAGTTTCGTCATGTTGACATCATCTTCATTACATGATTTTGATTATTTTATAAAACATAAATCTGCAGATAAGTATACTTACTTTTACATTTGAAACACGCAAGTTCAATCATATATCTAATAATTAAAAAGTTTTAAAATGTTTTCAAAAACAAAGAATTTTAGTTCAAGCGAAAGCTATATTGTAAGCATTAGCAATCCATGTAGACCAAGAAATGCATTTTTCAATTAAACATGACTCTAAGAATTGTATCAGCAATGAAATATCTGTGAACTTTTTTTCATGTTTTATATCAGACACTTAGTTCTATCATCTATGATGGCATACGTTATTGTTTCACATAATATTTATTGTTTTTTTAAAGATGATATGATATCGTCATCAGTTAGCGCAAAACTAGGTATTTACAGCAGACGACAAGGGGTGTGGGTTTGGAGTGTGAGTGTTTTGATGTAGGTATGAGTGCATTTCTTTTCCTCTCACATCCACATCTACCCACACAGAATGGGGTGACTGTTGCTAGAGATCTTGGACCAGGTAATGCCATTAATCAACTCCGCCACTCTTAGAGTCTCTACATTGATGATGATGATGATCATCGCTGATATTCACAGTTATCGTATGATCCAATGGCAGATGTGTAATACAAATGAACAAGTTGAGCTGGTGATCATGGCCAAGTGATGCATTAATTGACGAAGAGATAGGTAGCTTCATTATTTGTGACCGAGGAAATCGACGAGTCATACGATGGTCTCGTCGCCATGATACAGCTCAAGGAGAAATTCTCATACACAATATCAGTTGTGCTGCACTAACTCTGAATGATCAGAGATATCTCTATATCTCTGAAACTGTCCAACATAAAGTAAGACAACATCAAATAAGAAGCCAGAATGCAACTGTCATAGTCATAGCTGGTGGTAATCGTCCAGGCGATGGACTCAGTCAACTAAAATTTCCAATCTACATCTTTGTCGATCGACAACAACAATCATCGTGTGATGAAATGGAATAAAGGTGAAAAAGAAGGAGTTATCGTTACTGGGGATCAAGGCAAAGGAAATGCTCTAGCACAATTGTTGTTTTCTCAAGGACTATTCATCAATACGTCTGGTGAGGGTGTGGGTGTGAGTGTCAGTGAAGTGAGTACCTGCACCCACACCCATACCCTAAGATTTGATACGCATGACATACATCCGATTGATGTCGGTAGTTATGGTAGCCATTTGAACCAGCAACAAGTACTCCAAAGTTATCGGCTGCTATGTATCCAATAGTGCCAAGAAAGGTAATGCTTACAATAAGAAGAAAATGTTGACGAAGAAACATTTTACAAGTGTGTTTTGATAAAATTACAATGAAAAACGTCGGTGAAAACGATGAATTTATCTTGTGTTTTTCACATCGTCACTGTTAACTTGCGTATCACACTCTATTTGAATAAAGACAAGTTAATCAGTGATAATGATGATACTGAAAAAACATCCATATACGACATTTGGGAGTAAAAAATCATATAACTCTTTTTGTTCTCAATTTATGTTTGAATATAATTGATTTTATCACATGCATATACGAACAGCAGAGTTCTGTTCAAGGAAATATATCTCAAAGATCTAGAAAATTCCTAAAGTTAACTATCAAAAGCATAATCAAATGGATTTTCTAGGGAAAATCTTTTCTTTAATCAGTGTTGAAATACTCATTGAAATCATATCGATCCACTCTATGCAAATAAAGATTATCCGTGAAAATTTATTTATTGATTATTTAATTAGAAAGCAATTTTTTTTTTCAAAATTTAGTGAAGATTTTTTTTTAAAATTATCTATTTCATCCTCGGCAAATAAGATATGATAAATTGATAACGAAATAAAAGTGTAACATAAACAAGAAAAAAAATAACGAGTGCGACAGAATAAATTGAGGCCTTTCGTATTTTATTTTTTAATCATATAGTGCGTTTTATCAAAAAACGAAATATACCGTAAGATGCAACATTAAAAACTGTACAATCTACAAAGTAAAACTTAGTTTGATTGTGTTCTTTTTGCTTTCAAAAAAAAGCAAAATTGTGTGGGGCTAATATTCGACTCGGATGAGAAATTCTTTTTTTCTTATTTAAACAAATTGTTCATTGTAAATTGCAAAGCTTTTCATCCTGAATCTTGTGATATATATTCTGCTCTTTTTTACGGAAACATATTAATTGATAAGAACATGAAAAAACTTGCTTCCCGTGTCTGTAGGAAAAAATGATCTCTGAGCAGGATCGAAAATTGGTCACACACAGTTTTGCTTTGCTTGAAAACTAAAAGAACATAATTAAACTAAATTTTGCTTTCTAGGTTGTAGATTTTTTCACGCTGCATCCTGTGGTATATTTTGCTATTTTATTGAAGACATATTAGATGCTAAAAAGATAAGATAACATGATTTTTGAGCAGCATCGATATTTGATCACTCAAAACTTTGTTCATTTTGAAAACAAAAATTACAACTATAAAATAAATGATCTTATGTAAATTGTAGAGCTTTTCATGCTGCATCTTGTGGTATATTTTGTTTTTTAATAAAACGCACTGTATAATAAAAGATAAAATACAAAAGGCGGTAATTTATTCTGCCACATCCATTACATTATAACATTTACGTTGTTTATAATGAGTCTGATTTTAGATCTGAAACTTACTTAAGAATGTGAATGATATTACTAATACGAAATAGGACAAATAATATTATCTTGTCAGGTATGTAACAAAAAGTGAACCTACTAACATCAACTCATTTCAGATAGATTGAAATTAGCATCTCAACTAACTTATCTTCTTTGTTAGAACTTATGTCGTATCCAATTGATGTAAACATAAAATTTTCCTTTCGCTCACAGATACTGCAAGGATATATGTGCGCATTGAAACAGTTCATTCATGTAGTGTTACTAACGACGAATAATATCGAAGTTTAGTTGCCAAAAGCACCAAAAAATGGAGAAGCAGATCAAATGGAATCTTGAATTCTTGAATTTTGTTCTCATTTGCTGCTATAGTGTGTATGTGAAGCAACAAAGCAGAGAAATAAAAGACAAGCAATGACCTTCGAAAAATGAAGAAAACACCCAGAAAATCGTTTTTATATGCACACTCTTTATCTTATTGTAAATAAGTACATTCACAAATACAAAACGCAAGAAAATGGGTAATGAAAATGTCTTATCGTCTCGCTTGATAATATGACATACCTCTTGATTCAATCCAATGCCTTGCGTTGAAATACGATTGTACTGGCTCTATAAACGAGAACTATACCTACGAAAAAATGCTCAGGTTGAGTGTGAGTGTGGTATGAATGTGGATATGGTTGTTCATAATACAAACAGAGTAATACCCAGAAATACACACTCACACCTTGATTCAATTGTTTTCTTTTTTTGACTCTTGTTGGTAAACTTTATAGTACAAATAAATAACATTTCTTGCGTTATCGTTCTTGCAAGCCCTAGTCTTAGAGATGTTGTTTAGTGTTTCTAAAGGTTCCATTGATTTATTTTAAACTTCATGAAATTGTATCTATTTCTTCTATAACAAAGACGTTCAAAAAGTTTTAAGAAGTTTGAGGTTTTGGGAAGAAGATTCATCTTTAAATATGAGTTCATAATCAGTCTTGAAGAAAGATTTGTATACTCATCATTTATGAATTCATCCATGTGACATATAAATATAATAAATAAAGTTTATGCTTTATTTGTATAATAATGTTTTGTTTTAGAGTATAATTATATCGATGTACGAACACAATTAGAGAAAGATTTCTATGGACTATCATATTTATTAAATAAGCAAAAATTGTTTCTTTAGAAAAGTTTTTATCGATATTTTTTATCTTTTGAACCAAATCGATTTTTAAATTTGTCGACCGTAGGTCGTTTTGGTAAGGTATTGAACCGTCCTGATCGAGCTGATGTCGCTTCATTTATATATTGGTTTTTATTATCACAATCATAATTTATCAATGATCGCCCGGTGTAATCGGTATTTAATAGGGAATAGGATGGGCTCGTTTCTTTGTGTATAAGACGATGGAATAGAAATGAACGGTGATAATATTCGGTATTTAATAGGGAATAGGATGGGCTCGTTTCTTTGTGTATAAGACGATGGAATAGAAATGAACGGTGATAATATTCGGTATTTAGGAGATTTTCGTTTTCGGCATGGCCAAGTAAACTTTTGATCAAAGTTGACTTTCCTGTACATGTTCGTCCCCTGATCAGTATATTAACAGATGAAAGACGATTAATATCATTCTCTTGTGTTGACTTGTAATCACCTCTCCAAGTAAAAGCATTTTCAAAGTTTTCAGGAACAGATTGTTCATTATTGTATAAATATATCCAAGAGTCGATAAGTTTATTGTGAGCAATTTGTTGAGTAGTAGGCAATTGAAGTTGCTGTTTTTCAGAAAATAAAGATAGACAAAATTCTTCCACTACTGTTAACGTATGATGGCGAAATCGTGAACTAAAGACATCCACGTTGAAGAAAATGATCATAAGTAAAGAGAAAATGCGTTCCACTTTGTTAAAATTATGTAAATCATACTTTTTCTTGCTAAGAGCTATGATAAATTCAGCAGCCGTGTTCCGTATTTCGGAGAGATTCTTTACTTGGTGATATTCAACTTGTCTTAATAGTTGATTATTATTATTAATAGGATCTGATGGAACTAAATATTCTCCTTTCAAAAAAGGAATAGGAAATGAATTTACACCAAGATAATTAAAAAGTTCCAATATATTCTCATCTTCATGTAATTCGTTAAATAGTGTGTATGGTTGTTCAGAAATAATTGAATGAAGAATAGTCATGAATGAAGTATAATCAAGTGGAGGTTTTAATAAATATTCACCGTTTTGGTTTTGAATTCTTGAAAAGTCATCTTTATTTGCTACCAGAGTAGATAAATAAGGAATACGATCAAGTTGTTGTTGAGTGAGATGAACATGTTTATTAGAATTGTCAAAATAGAATTTATATGTGAATTCCATATTTGATTCAATTGTTTCGAATGCATTCGCCATTGTCTAAAAAGTTATTTTCACCAAATGATTAGCTGTGTTCTTATTGCTGACAACGTTTATTGCGCAGATAACAAAAATGACACGAATATTTACTTCCTTTCCTTTCTTAAGACAATGAATCATAAAAAACTATGTTGGTTTTTTTCTACCTGAGGTGTCGTCATCGACATCGTTTTGTCAACAGAATAACTAAAATTAGAAAAAATGCATCAATAAACACTGCGTTTTTTTATACAAAAATACAAAGAGAAAAAAATATCGTTAAGCCGGTGAATTTGAATTGACAATCTTCAAAGATAGATTAATAGTCGAATAACAACCTTTATTCTTACCTAGATCGAATAAACACGCTTGTAAATAACAGTAAATCGTTGTATTCTGGCATATCAAATGATTTCATCTTACAAATATAAACACACCAACATCTAGGCATACTTCGAATAAATAAGATCTTCTAAGAGAGAATTTCAGAACGAAATATATATATATATATGATAGTATCTACGATCGGAGTCCGAAAGTGAACCGAATCCGAACCAACTGGGGTGTGGGTGTGGGTGTGGGTGTGGGTGTGGATGTGGGTGTGGGTGAGTGTGGGTGTGGGGTGTGGGTGTGGGTGTGGGGTGTGGGTGTGGGGTGGGTGTGGATTATCTTGTCATCGACACCCACACCCACACCCACACTCACACCTACACCCACACCCACACTCACACCTACACCCACACCCACACCCACACCTACACCCACACCCACACCCACACCTACACCTACACCCACACCCAAACTGACGATGATTTCGTTACTTTTTTCATTTTGCCCGAGAGTGAAAAAAAACTCGTTCTAAGAGAATCGAAGAAAAGAAAAACAACATATGAGACAAGACACCTAATGTAATGACATTTAAGTCATAGTAAAAATGAAAAGTAAACGAAAATTGGAAAGAATAACAATGGAATGAATGATGTTGTTGCATATTTTCTTTTTCATTTGTTATTGGCAACCATATTTCAAATAAAGACTAGGTGAAAGTATTGTTAGGTATCAACGAAAGAAAACAACAGCATTTAACGTCGTAAAAAAAATTTAAAAAAAGAGAGAGTAAAATAGTGGCTACAGAATATGAGATTTATTTTTTTTTTTGTCAATATTTCATTCAGTATAAATGACGTTTAAACTTAAAGAAATTGAATATTTTCTTTCTGCAAAATATTAATTTACATAAAATTGAAATATTTTGCTTCCGTTTTATTCTATTTATGATTTTATCATGAAGCTAAATGTT